TTATTGAACAAATATAAATGCAGAATATAAGTTAATTATTAGGTTCAATCCTAATTTTTTTTAACATAAATAAATAACTTCATAAATAATCATAGATAACTTCATACCAATATCGTAATTTCGTAACATGTAAACCCAATTTATTATTATGTTTAACCACAAGTAATTTCAGGCAATTTTTGTAGCTTACTACCAGGTTTGAAAATAATTTTTAATTATTCATACAGACTTATATGTGTATCTACAGCATGTATATTTAACAAAACATACTCACGAAAATTACAATTAAATAAATTATAATTAAATTTAAAATTAAAAAAGTAACTAGTTTTAAAAATTATAAAAAAATATAATTAAGTTAAAAGTAGAAATTTTTATTAAATTAAAAAAAAATTTAAATATAAAAATAAATTTTTTTATTTAAATTTAAAATTTTTAGAATAATAATATTAAATCTAAAATTTAAAGACATGAAATTATAATTAAATATTAAAACTAAAAAAATTATAATTAAATTTTAAATTTGTTAAAGTATAATTATGTTTTAAGACTGAGTAAATATAATTAAATTTGAAGTTAAAAAAATTATTAAATTTAAAAATTAAAAGACTTTAAAATTATTTTGCTTTAATTTTAAAAATTTTAAAATTATAGTTTTATTTAAAAATTAAATAGTATAACTTGGTAAAATATGAATTTTACCATTAAAGTCAAATCGAGCCAATTTTTAAGGTTTTTTTATTCAAGAGAATTTTTACTACATTGTGAAACATAAATTATTTTATTAATCAAATTTAGTTTTCATATTCTGAAGCATTTTTTTAGCTATTTTAGTGGAAGTTATTCCGTATTTTAGCTTTATAGTTATTCAATATTACAAAAGATTCTATATTATAGTTTTTGGTGCGAAAATGTAAAATTCTTTTCAATTATTATCTTCTCAATGGATATACAGTTGGAACTTGTGATCAATTAATACCAGCTGATTCACATACGGAGAAAAAAAATTTTGATAATATTACCTTTCTGAATTATAATGACATTTATGGAAAAAAAAAATCATAAGTCTCGCTCCGAAAATAAAATAAATCGTATTTATAAACCATCCATTTGGTAATTTTTCCGTAAATGCTTTAATGGTCTACCGGAAATCTTGTTACCAAACATTTAGTAAAAAGTATGATACTGAAAATTAAATCTTACCGAATAAGTAATTTTTATGCCATGCTCTATGAAAAAAAAAGATAAAATTATCAAATTTTGCCACAATTAGTAAATTTTATGGTTTATTTAACCGAATTCATTACTAAAGCATTTCGTTAAAAAATAACAAGCCTTTTAAGCGTTCCTATAGATTCCGAAATTCGATAACTAAATTCTGTTAGTTTTGATTATACTTTTTTATACGTTAATATAAAATTAAAGATAATATATAACGTTCTCTAAACGTATAACGCTCTCTAAAAGCATGATAATTAACAAAATTACGTGATGTATTCCAACATTTTTTCTTACAATCCAAAAAATATATTCAATGCTGAATCACAATAACCACACACTTAATACAAACTTATATTGATCCATGATTCCATTTAAATTAAACCATGGCATTATGTTATTAATTTTTTGAAATACTTCCATAGCTTTTTGAAATACTTTCCGTGCAGTCAATACTTCCCCATAGGAAACAAAAAAAAATTAAGTACAATCTTATGGTACATATTAAGATTGCGACAAATTTAAACCGTATTACGCACATCAAACTTCTTTAACAGAGCACTGTAAAAATTGCTGAAACTGCAATGTTAAAACCCACTGGCGGTTAAGGAAATGGGCAAAATTGGGAGAATGTTTCTCCCCTACACAAAGTTCCCCTATCAGTTAACATGGGAAAACCGGTTTTGCTATGCAGAGAAGACTGCAGGTTAAAATGCGACTTTTTACGTGCAGAACCGTCAGTGGGATTCAATTAGGTAAAAAAATATTTTTTTTTCAAGTCAAAGGGGGAAGATTACAATTTTTTCAATTCTAGCGCTATAAAATTTGGAGGGAGTATGACCATATTAATGAAGTTCTTAAAATTGATTACACTGTATAAAAGTTCACATTGAACGGAAAAATTCAATTTCCCACCGTATTAAGGTTGTAAATTTACACCATTTTACAATAATTTAAAGGTAACGATGTTATGATTTGACGCAGGACTCATTTTTCTGGGTCTAAATTTGTTAAGCCTTTCACACAGAATTTATATATATATATATATATATATATATATATATATAAATTG